GCATCGCGTGCGGGGGTGCTGGCCTATGGCGGGGGCGAGCGGCGCGGCGGCGATCCATCGGGATGGCGTCGGAGGTCCCTGGTGGCGGCTCGGCGGCGTCTTGGTGGGTGCTTGCGGCGTGGCGGCTGCAGCAGGGCCAGATCGGGCGGTGGCGGGCCGGCGCGCTCCTGGCCAGATCCTCGTGGATTTGGTCCCCGGTGGCGGCGGGCGTCGCGGGGTGGCGGAGGATGTCCTCCTGGGACCTGCGTGCAGGTGGCTTGCAGCGGCGTGGCTGCAGCCCGTGGTCGGCTGGTCTGCTCGCGGCACCGGCGGGACTTGCTCCGGCGTGTGGTTGTCTGCGGCTTACTCGGGTGAGATTCCTTCCTCCCCTACGGACTCAGGGACGGGCGCGACAGGCAGGGGTGGTTCCATGGTGAGGTGTTGGTGTGCCGGTGGGCTTGCCGGAGGTGGCTGTGGACTTCGGGTAGGGGGCAGGGGTTCCCCTCCGTTGCATCTGGCGGCTGCTCCGTGGCCGCCGGAGTTCCTCTGGCCCAGATCTGGCCGCCGAGGCCACCAACCCTGCCAAGGTTTCCGCTTTGGGGTGGAAAGTCTACTCCTTTCCGGTCGGTCGTGTCGGTACTGTGTGTCCGTGGTCAAGGATGGGGCTCGGATGCTTGGGCGGCGGCCCTGCTGGTGGGAGCTGGGGTGCTTGTGGGCGTAGCACGCGGCTCGGGCGCTGTCCGGTCACCATGGCCGTGTGGGCGGCATGGTGGCCGGGGTGTGTCGTTCAATGGTGGTGGCGCGGCTGTCCGTACCCCAATTTGGTGACAGTGAGTGTTGGCCGGGGTGAAAACCCGCTCTGTCTTGTCAGGCCGGCGGTGGCGGCGTTCCAGCGTCGTTCCCTTCTTGAAGGCGTCGTCGCGGTATCTCGCTTGTAACCGTGGTGCTCCGGGGGAAACCCTAATCCTTGGATTGGGTGGTGGCGGCGATCCGGCGTCGTTCCGTTCTTGAAGGCACCGCCTTGGAGCCCATTGTTCGTCATGCACAGCTTCTCCTCATCATGGTGATTCTTCCATGGTTGAGGGCTCCGACAACTTCAAAGTAGTGCTTAGGGTTTTATCCGTTGTTTGCTTGGAGTAGTTTGGGGTGATGTTGCTGTTTTCAGCGTCCTTGTACCTGCCTCGGGTGTGTGTGTTGTGTTGGTGTGGGGTGTGTGTTTGTATCGACTTGCTCGGTGATTGTTGCTTTATTTATAAAGCGGGGGAAACCCTTTTTCTCCTTAGTAAGCAGTGCAGTGCAAGTGCAAAGACTGGGAAGAAGGACAGAGAGAGAGCCCTTGAACTTTAATTTTTTTTGGGTCTACTAATGATATGATCCATATCAGACTAGCAAGATAAGGTAGTATTAACTAGACGACATATGGAGAAATGTATGTTTGTATACGTACACTGGAGGTATTAATTAGATTAACTAATCAATCGAGATCAATCAATGCTGGTCTTTGATATATACTGACAGAATATAACTGCCTAGGATTTCTACACTTGTCTCCTCTCTAAAAACAACCAAGGAAATAGGTATATGGTACACAGCAAGAAATGTTTCTGTCTGATGAATACATTTTTGTATCAGTGTTTAGAGCTGTTCTCAGCAGAACCATCTGTTTAGGATAGAACCATCTTTTACACTAGTCAGGGGGGGGGGGATCACAACAAAAACCTATGTTCCAACTGCCAATTGCCTCGAATCGACCATGAGGCGTCGAAATGCATATCTGAATATGAACACTCGACGTCCTCGCCGAGGCGTCGGCACTTGTCAGAGATGAAAAGCTTGCCCTTGGGCACAGTTTCTCTATTTTTTCGAAAAGGGGGAACTCTCCGGCCTCTGCATGAGAACGATGCATATGGCCACATTTATATAAAAATAAAGTAGTTCAACAAGGTCTTAAAGTCTGAAAACAAATAAATGGCTAGCTCAGAAAGAGCCACAATGCCAAAAACAAATGCCCAAAAGCCACAACCGGCTGGCATAAGAAAGATAGGTAAACTAGTCGCCTATCCTATTACACGACCGCCATCTAAACCGGTTGAAGATATCCTGCGCTACCATCTCCCACCGGACAGATCCAGTAACCAAACGCTCGCTGGCCTCCGTCGGAGTGAGGAAGGACCACATACGGATCAGCGCAGAAGCTCGGAATAAAACCTGCAAAAAATGAATAGTTGTTGTTCTGTTAAAAGCCAAATCATATCTGCAGTTCCAAATTGCCCATAACAACGCACATGCTCCTACACGAATTTGTCTGGCTGTTTCGGACTCTATCCCAACAAGCCACGTTTCAAATGACGAACTGACCTTTCTTTGATTGCCCGTTGGCGAGAGTGTTGTGGCGCACAGTTTCTCCATGGACCCATCTGGTGGCCCATTGACCGGGCGCACTTGATCTCGTAAAGTTTTGGCCACAAATTTTCTGGTCACTGTGAGCAGAGCCAAAGGGTTAACCAGAGAAGAACCTCAAAGGCTTTGAATCATGGGATGAAAACAGTTAACTGCAGAAGTGCAAAAAAAAAAACTCACGAGACAGTCTGTGGTTATATAGATTTAGTGTCATCTCACTTCCGACACTGGATATGGGTTACGTTTTGTCTGTGTGTCTGTGTGTAGCAATGCAACTAGACAATGGTCCATCATAGGCTGTTCACCCTGTTTCCGGAGTTCCACAATTGCTTCCTCCAAAATTGAACAATTTTGTGAAGACACTGCACACAAAACAGAACAATTTTGTGAAGAAACTCGTGGGTAAGAAAATGGAAAGATAACATCAGCAATGAGACAGTCTGTGCTTATCTTCATCCCAAGCTATTACTCCCTCTGTAAACAAATATATGACAAAAAATTATCTTATCGGGGTGGGCGCCGCGGTACGTGCGTACGAGCGCGCGTGGTGGACGCGGCCAGGGCGGACCTGATCGTGGGCTCGCACAGGTGGAAGCGTGGGGATCGTGGACATGCTGGCCTGGGTACAAATCCCGTGTGGAGGTCGTTGTAGACTGGCGTGGTTGTAGCTCGAGTTGTTGCTTGAGGATATACACAGCCGTTGTTGCGGCTGGGGCGTTCGTGCGCCAGGAACACCACCGTGCCCTCTCATTCTGTCTGTTTTCTTCTTCCTTGGTTCAGTTTGTGCTAGAACGAAGTGACAGAGAGATAGAGGTAGACTAGCGCAAGAGCTAGGGCATAGCCAGGGTTCCAACACATTTAAAACATCAATATTCTGGAACATGGAATAGATTTAGTGTCATCTCACTTCAGACACTGGATACGGATTACGTTTTGTGTGTGTGTCTGTGTGTAGCAATGCAACTAGACAATGATCCATCATAGGCTGTTCACCCTGTTTCCAGAATTCCACAATTGCTTCCTCCAAAACTGAAAGGACACAAGGTTTGGTTACTATTTCAAATGCAGACACTGCACACTAGACAGAACAATTTTATGAAGAAATTCAGTGGGCAAGAAAATGGAACGAGAACATCAGCAGTGATTTCTACTCCGAAGATATCTCAGCTCATGAAGAAAGACCACCTAGCTTTGAATACTGAGAGTTTCCGGTTCACAATATTCTAGCATATTCGTAGGTAGTTCAATATTCTAGCTTACCTGCCGGAGATCCATTGATGATTATGATGATGATGACGATGATGATGATGATGGTATTAATTACTATATCTGTCTTTTGAGACGAGGGCCTGGATTGCAAACTAAATACTCCATCGAGATGTGAAGGATGCTTTGCTCTGTTTGCCTGTCATCGTTGTTGCCTGTAGCTAGCTTCCCTCTGCTTTTGCTCTGTATATTTGACTGTATCTTCAGGTCAGTTTCAGGCATCAGGTCGACTCCATTCGGGGCCTGAAAATCATCCGCCTTCCGACCACAGGACGGGCGGCTGCTGTCTATCAGCTCTTTCTTTTTAGCAAGGAATACACTTTTGCACTTGAGGTAGTTTTGAAGATGTTATCATACAAGCCAAAAAGTGGTGTCAATAGGGTCCGCATTGAAGATCCCTTACATGGTCGTGTATGTTTGCCTGCCGTGTGCATGCTGCAAGCGCTGGTCTGATATCGCTATTTGGTCCAACCAAAAGAAGATTTTATTTGTGTCCCTTAACTTTCCTATACCAGAAACTTTGTTACAGTAGAATATTCCAACAAGGCAATCACCATTCGTTGAAATAACTAGACCGGACACCTAGCTGCAGACAACTGTTCGATAGCAGTGGCTGGTGAAAAGGACAATGTCAATCATCATCAACATGGCAAATGACCGATGACCACCAAAGTCGTGCAGAGTGTTCCAGGGAGAATGTCGACCATATCTTGGTTACCAATGGTTCTCACCATCATTTCAAAAAGGTTGGTCTGTATAAGTATAATAGTCCAATTGTTCAGCCTTATATTAGTCAGCAAAGGCTGCACTGAATTTCCTTGATTGCACCATTGTGGCTGTTCGCTGTTCTTTAAGCTTTGGAGATGCAGTGTTAATACTAGAGCATTGCTTCCGTGGGACTTTTTTCTTTAATTGGTGACTTTCTATCGCGTACAGAAGAGAATTTACATCATGGAGGAAGAAACGTAACGTATATATCAATTCCATACATACCTCAACGCATAACACGTTAGGTAGGCGAAAGGGACGTTTGTTCTATAGTGCAACCAATAATTGATAGCCCACCATGTGAAGTTCTACTCAATAGCTGCATCAGCGATCAGTTTCCTCCCGTCTCCTCTCTCCAACTCAATCAATAGCCACACATACAGTTTAATTGGAGGATTTCTGAGATGGAATTTGCCATATCTGTAGTAACAAATGAGCTCATGACCCGATTCATCTCCTTCCTCACCGACAGGTATTCATGCCATGCATGCTCTGACGAGAAGCGTCTGGAGAGGCTGCAGCAACTGCTCCTGAGAGTTCACACCGTCGTCGAGGAGGCAGACGTGCGGTACATCACCAACTCTGGGATGCTGGTACAGCTCAAGATGCTCGCGGACGCCATGTATCAAGGATACTGGATGATGGGCGCGTTCAACTACGGATCCCTCAAGGAGACTCTTATGGCGGATGAGGAGGAGGAGGAGGATAGCAGCTCATTATTTCGTCTCAAACGTTCTCGTATAATTCATGGGAGTGCTAGAACACACAAGGCAAGACATCTCATGGAGTTTCATGGTGCAGTGGAGAGCCTAGAAATTGCGGTTGCCAACATCACAGAGTTTGTTGTGATTTTGAGTGGATGCGACCGTATGGTGTGCAGACCATATGATACATATCTTTACATTGACAACTTTGTGTTTGGCCGCCATTCGGAAAAGAAAATGATCTTGAGCTTCCTCTTGCAAGACAGCCCTGCTGCTGCCGTGCCGACCGTTCTTCCAATCATTGGCGGTTTTGAGGTGGGGAAGAAAACTTTGGTCCTGACATATGAGGAGTTCGGCTACCTCTTCAAGGCACTCGCATTCGGAAGTGCAAACCCGGGGGAACACCCGCAGTTAGTACAAATAGCAGACCGGTTTGCCAGAGAGTTACAATCGCGGTGGTCAATTCTCGCTGCAAATTTGTTTGCAGATGTAATGAGAGCGAACCTGAATGTTCATTTCTGGCTTAGTATATTGAGCAGGTGCAGGAGACTAGTTGATAGAAACCTCGCCATGTTTGGTGAGCATCCAAAACTACGTCTTGAAAAAGGTCTTCCAATAGATGTGACGGACATGGTTCTGTGTCTGGCTTCTCCACTTCAGTTCATCTGGAATAGCTCAAACAATGTTTTAGCGAAGGAATTACCACAAGTGACCTTTACAGAGCTATTAGTGGATCTTAAGCCAAAGATGCAGGCCACAGTAGTGAGATTTGAATCAAGAATTCCACCTTATACTACATTTGATCACATTCTTTCAAGATATGCTCAAGATACTCCTCAGCTCGGGGCCAAGCGTAGAATAGTGCCTTAATTTCAAATCTTAGGCATTTTGTACATGTGTAATCTAATTGCTGTAATATGTTATGAAACCTTACCTATTCCATGAAAGTTCTCCATCATACGATTTCGTGGAACTTCCAACATTTTGTATTATTAAGACTCTCGGTTAGCCTATTCGGGGCCCCACATGCTAGTGAGTTTGATTTTCAGTTTTATTTCATTTTTATTATGTGAAGGTAAAATATGTCAAATAAAATTGTGTCGTATTTACCATCTCAGGCCCTTCAATTTTTTCTAGAAGTTTGAGGTAAATTCTGTGTCTCGGTTTGACACGAAGCTCTTTGGGATACCGTGTGGCCCGACAATCCTTCAAATTGATAGTTGGGCTAGTTGGTCAGAACAGTAGTTAGCCGGTCCACTATGAGCCATATGAAGTCATTGCATCTAGGTAACCCAAAAACAAATCTGGATGGAGGTTTACACTTTTTGTTGGGTAATTTGGAATGGCTGCGATGATTTTCATTTTGGAAACTTTTACATTTATGCCCTTCTATTTTACCCCTAATTTGTGTACACTCAGTTTTGACCTTATTCCGTTAAATTGTCTCCGTAATGCTAAGCACTTTGCAGCAGCCTGTGTGTAGAGTGTGTTGTGTACACCTCCATCAAATTAATCTAGCTTTTAGTTTCTGTCAGGCATTTTGGTTACGCCAGCAAATCACAAGTGTTGGAATAATCTACGTACAGCATTTCCGTGTTAGAGATGCAACACAAGCCAACCGCAGATCGGTATGCACATGCCCCCAACAGCATGACTTGACCGCTAGCTTGAGCTGGCCGTAACTCTCATGCCTACTCCCCGTCAGGCACGCATGGAAGGTTCTGCAGACTCTCTACATACGGTCTAGACTCTAGACTTTAGTCAAATGAAATTGTTGATGGCGTGGTTCTGTTCACAACTTCAGAGTTGTCGCACGCGAAAAAAGCATCATCACTCACTTAGATAACAAGCCGTCCGGTGACCAAATATCCCCCGTGTCGCCCCCCGCTAGGGAGGCTCGGGTGGAACCCTATCCCCACCGCCGCCGGGCAAAGCCCCGGGCGGCTGATGACGGCGGTGGAGGTTCCCTTCCCTCCCGCGTTCCTTTGGGTGAGGCGGGTCACACGTGGCTCAGGGGTCCTCCTCCCTGATCTGAGCCGTCATTGCGGCGGCACCGCCGATCTGAGGCCGCCGACGGCGCCTTGGCGGCGTGGTGATGGGAGGAGGCGGCGGAGCGGCGGGCTTCATGGAAGATCGGGTGGTGCCGGGTGCTCGGTGGGCGTGCTTGGTCATGGCGGCATAGGTCGCAGTGGCCGGCGGCTTGGCAGGTCGGCGGCGGCGGAACATGGCCGGTGGCAGCGGCGGTGTTCTGTCTGGATCCCCGGGCGGCGGCCCTGGAGGGTGGCGGCTGGTGAAGTTAGGGCTTCCCGCGGCGGCATGGCGTGGTGTCCCTGTCCAAGACGGATCTGTGACGGCGATCTGCTATGGATTGGTTCAAATCAGAGACGATGACGAGCGCGCGGGATCCATCTCGGCGGCTCTCGCGGCTTGGCGAGGCGGGGTGGGAGCCCTCCTCCTAGGCTCCAGTGGTGGCACACTCAGGCTGTGGCCGGTGTGCCAGGGCTCCTACAGTGGCACTGCTGTTGTGGTTGGTCGCCGAATCTAGGCGGCTGGATCTGGGGCTTTGAAGGCGGTTGAGGGAGTCCTGGATTAGGGGGTGTCCGGATGGCCGGACTATGACCTTTTGCCGGACTCCTGGACTATGAAGATACAAGATTGAAGACTCCGTCCCGTGTCCGGATGGGACTTTCCTTGGCGTGGAAGGCAAGCTTGGCGATACGATATGAAGATCTCCTCCCATTGTAACCGACTCTGTGTAACCCTTGCCCTCTCCGGTGTCTATATAAACCGGAGAGTTTTAGTCTGTAGGATGAACAACAATCATACCATATGCTAGATTCTAGGGTTTAGCCACTCCGATCTCGTGGTAGATCTACTCTTGTACTACCTATATCATCAATGTTAATCAAGCAGGAGTAGGGTTTTACCTCCATCGAGAGGCTCCGAACCTGGGTAAAAACATCGTGTCCCTTGTCTCCTGTTACCATCCGCCTAGACGCACAGTTCGGGACCCCCTACCCGAGATCCGCCGGTTTTGACACCGACATTGGTGCTTTCATTGAGAGTTCCTCTGTGTCATCGCCTTTTAGGCCCGATGGCTTCTTCGCTCGTCAACCGCGACGCGGTCCGAGATGAGACTTTTCTCCCCGGACAGATCTTCGTATTCGGCGGCTTCACACTGCGGGCTGACTCGTTTGGCCATCTGGAGCAGATCGAGAGCTACGCCCCTGGCCATCAGGTCAGGTTTGGAAGCTTGAACTACACGGCCGACATCCGCGCGGACTTGATCTTCGACGGATTCGAGCCACAACCGGGCGCGCCGCACTATCATGATGGGCACGATTTAGCTTTGTCATCGGACAACGCCCAGAGCGTCGCTCAGGTGTCCGCTCCGACCATTAGCTCGGAGCCCACTACGCCAGTCGGGGATGGACGGTTGGACGCCGCCCCGGAAACTGCAATCTCTGCGGCGATAGAGCCGGATACCAGCCTAGTCCCTCGCAAGGCCCATGACTCCGAGGTGCCGGACTCCGGTCCGGACTCCGCAAATCCCACACCTCTCCCGGTTAAGCCCGATTGGGCTCCGGTCATGGAGTTCACCGCCGCGGATGTCTTTCAGCACTCACCTTTCAGCAACATCCTGAATTCGTTAAAGTCTCTCTCTTTGTCAGGAGAGCCCTGGCCGGACTACGGCCAACACGGTTGGGCGGACGACGAAGAAATTCGTAGCCCACCCACCACCCACTTTGTAGCCACTGTCGATGATTTAACCGACATGCTCGACTTCGACTCCGAAGACATCGACGGCATGGACGCCGATGAAGGGGACGATCAAGAACCAATGCCTATAGGGAACTGAAAAGCCACCTCGTCATACGACATATACATGGTGGACACCCCTAAAGCGGGGGATGGCGAGGAGAAAACGGAGGATGACCCCTCAAGGAAGCAACCCAAGCGCCGACGTCAGCGGCGCCGCTCTAAGTCCCGCCAAAGCAAAAACGGCGATTCCGGCACCGGAGATAACAATACGCCGGACAGTGCCGAAGACAACCCCCTCTAGCACGATTCAGTGCAGGAGAATGAAGGAGCCAGCCCTCGTGAGAGAGCGGCCGACAAAGAGGATGAGGACAACAATTACATGCCTCCCTCTGAAGACAAGGCAAGCCTCGACGACGATGAATTCGTCGTGCCAGAGGATCCGTTTCAAACGCAGACTCGTAGCCACGGCAAGCAGCCTCAAGAAGAAACAACAACACCTTAGAGCTGACCAAGACTTGCTAGCCGACAGATGGACCGAAGTCCTGGCGGCCGAAGAGTATAAACTAGAACGCCCATCCAAGAGCTACCCGAAGCGCAAGCTGCTACCCCAACTTGAGGAGGAAGCAACTAAACCTACATCACCAGCGTACGATGCGCCCGATCGGCCACCCCGTGGCCGCGATAGAGAGGCCTTCAGGCCCTCAACCCAGGTCGCACCCCGACACCGCTCAAAACATACCATAATACGGGGAGACGCAACAGACCTGCGAGACATCTTGGAGAATAAGGCAAGGCAAACAAGATCGATCTACGTATCGCATGGGCGCCCCGCTTCACGTGACGCTAGCCGTCACGCCGGACATAATATGTATGGCCCGGCCGAATACAACAGACCAAGCTCGTCTGAGCTGCGTCGCGATATAGCTCAGTACAGGGGCGCCGCACACCCACTATGCTTCACAGACGAAGTAATGGATCATCAAATCCCCGAGGGCTTCAAACCCGTAAACATCGAATCATACGATGGCACAACAGATCCTGCGGTATGGATCGAGGATTATCTCCTTCACATCCACCTGGCCCGTGGCGATGATCTACACGCCATCAAATACCTCCCGCTCAAGCTTAAAGGACCAGCACAACATTGGCTTAATAGCCTTCCAGCAGAGTCAATCAGTTGTTGGAAGGACCTGGAATCCGCATTCCTTGACAACTTCCAGGGCACGTATGTGCGACCGCCAGACGCCGATGACCTAAGCCACATAATCCAACAGCCAGAGGAATCGGCCAGACAATTCTGGACACGGTTCCTGACCAAGAAAAACAAAATAGTCGATTGTCCGGACACCGAGGCCCTCGCAGCCTTCAGGCACAACATCCGAGACGAATGGCTTGCCCGGCACCTAGGATAGGAAAAGCCGAAGTCTATGGCAGCCCTCACGACACTCATGACCCGCTTTTGCGCGGGAGAAGACAGCTGGCTAGCTCGTAGCAATAACATAAGCAAGAGCCCCAGCAATTCGGATACCAAGGATAACAACGACAGGTCACGCCGCAACAAGCATAAGCGCCGCATTAACGGTGACAATACTGAAGATACGACAGTCAACACCGGATTCAGAGGCTCTAAACCGGGTCAGCGGAAGAAGCCATTCAAACGAAACCCTCAGGGCCCATCCAACTTAGACTGGATACTTGATCGCTCGTGCCAGATACACGGCACCCCCGAACAGCTAGCCAATCACACCAACAGGGATTGTTGGGTGTTCAAACAGGCAGGCAAGATAAGCACCGAGACCAGAGACAAGGGGCTACATAGCGATGACGAGGAGGGGCCCCGGCCGCCGAACAACAAAGGACAGAAGGGATTTCCCCCGCAAGTTCGGACGGTGAATATGATATACGCAACCCACATCCCCAAAAGGGAGCGGAAGCGTGCTCTCATGGACGTCTATGCGCTGGAGCCAGTCGCCCCAAAGTTTAACCCATGGTCCTCCTGCCCGATCACTTTCGATCGACGGGACCATCCCACCAGCATCCGTCACGGCGGATTCGCCACACTGGTCCTAGACCCAATTATCAACGGATTTCACCTTACCAGAGTCCTA